CTCCTCCGATGTCACCCCACTGTCCCCCTATATCAATGTCACCCCATTGTCCCCAATCCGGGCCACGGGAACGCCGAGAGGCCGAGCCCCAGATCCCAAAACTATTTTGGGGCGAGCGGAGGCTCCAGGGAATCCGGGCGGAACAAGGGCACCTCCGGAGCGCCGAGTCCTTCCCGAATTCCGGCTCTCCTTCCCCAAATCCGCCTGATCCCGGCCTATTTTCCGCCGGCCACGTGCCCGGCGCCCCTGGGAATCATCCCGGTATTTTTAGGTTCTGGATTTCTCCATCGCTCACGGAGCGCCGGGAGGGTTTTGGGAGCTCTGGAAAAGGGATTTAGGGTGGGTTTGGGGGCCAGGACATCGGGAAGGACGGGATGGCCCTGTTGGAATTCGGGGGTGAATTGGGAATTCCGGCTCTGGAATGCTCGATTCCAGGTTGGAGAAATCTGGGAGAGGGGAAGGCGTCCTTGGGGTGGGATTTAAGGACCATTCCCACCCAAAACGTTCCATGACCCAACGATTCCTGGCAGGGACGCCCCACTGAAATTCCCGAACTTTTGATCCATTCCCCGCCAGCTTCCATGCGGGCAGGATTTGGGATTCCCATGGGAATTGGACTGGAGCACATTCCAGAGGGACAAAAGCCGGGAAAGGGTCAAATCCCCATGGCCAAGCTGGGGACAAAGGGCCCTTCAGTGGCTCCGGGGACGTCCCGGCCGTGCCTGGCACCGGCGGCTCCTTTGAGATTCCCGGGATCCAGGCCCTTCCCGGGATCCCAGCTCCGGGCGCCACCCCCTCCCTGGTGGCCTTGGTGGCCATGGATCGGCTGGAGCTGGGAATGGCACTGGGAGCACTGGGAGCACTGGGAGGGTCACATGTCCCCCATTCCAGGAGTGGCTTTTTAAAGGATGGATTTGGGATCAAATCCTGGAGCTGGGAATGGCTCTGGGAGGGTCACACCTGGAGGTGGCTTCCTGATTAGGAGTGGCTTTTTTCGTGGATGGATTTGGGATCAAATCCTGGAGCTGGGAATGGCGCTGGGAGCACTGGGAGCACTGGGAGGGTCACATGTCCCTCATTTCAGGAGTGGCTTTTTTCGTGGATGGATTTTGGGATCGAATCCTGGAGCTGGGAATGGCTCTGGGAGGGTCACACCTGGAGGTGGCTCCGTGTCCCCCATTTCAGGAGTGGCTTTTTCATGGATGGGCTTTGGGATCAAATCCTGGAGCTGGGAATGGCTGGAAAGGTCACATTTGGAGGTGGCTTCCTGGTTCCAGGAGTGGCTTTTTAAAGGATGGATTTGGGATCGAATCCTGGAGCTGGGAATGGTGCTGGGAGCACTGGGAGGGTCACCCGTCCCAAATTTCAGGAGTGGCTTTTTTCATGGATGGATTTTGGGATCAAATCCTGGAGCTGGGAATGGTGCTGGGAGCACTGGGAGGGTCACACGTCCCAAATTTCAGGAGTGGCTTTTTTCATGGCTGGATTTTGGGATGGAATTCTGGAGCTGGGAATGGCTCTGGGAGCACTGGGAGGGTGACACCTGGAGGCGGCTCCTGTCCCCAATTTCAGGAGTGGCTTTTGGAGGGCTGGGCTGGAATTCCCAGAGAATCCGTGGGAATGTCCCAGGAGAGGCTGGATGGGGCTTGGAGCAGCCTGGGATAGTGGGAGGTGTTGGGGATTCTGGGATCAAGGACATTTGGAATCCATCTGGAGGGATTTTTATGGAATTTTATGGGGATAGAAAAGGGAAGGGAGACCCTTCCTGGAGTTCTGAATTCCCAGTGAAGCCCCTGGATCCCACCAGGAAAAGGGGGATGACCCCGGGATGCGGGAGGTGCCGGGGTTGGAAGGGGGTGGGATTTGAGCTCTTTCCCACCCAAACCATTCCCTTTCCATGATCCCCGTCCCTGGGAATGCCGGCGGCTCCCTGGATTCCCGGAGAACCTCCCCCGGAGGCTCCCGCAGCCCCCAAAAATCCCCAAATCCCCCCAAAAATCCTCCAGATGCTTGGGATGCTCCAGGTACCAGGAGGGAGGAGCGGGGCGGGGCAAAGGCGCGGTGTCGGGCGCTGATTGGTTAGAAATGACATCATAGATTAGGCACAGCCAATGGGAAGCCGCCGGCTGTGGAGGCCCCGCCCCGAATCCTGGGAGGGTCCGGGGGGATCCCGGGAGTGGGGCGGGAATTGTGGGAAAAATGGGGAAAAAGTGACGGGATTTTTGTTGGAAATTGGGATAAAAATGGGGAAAAGGGACGGGGGAAATGTGGGGAAAATACGGGGAAAATTAGTGAAAATAAATGTGAATTAAATTTTAAAATAAATGCCAAAAAATAGAAAAGAAATTGCAAAACAATGAGAAAATAAATATGGAATAAATTTAAAATAAATGCAAATATATATATAAAATAAATTTAAAATATATAGAATGAACATAAAATAAATATAAACATAAACTCCTAAGGTATTATATAAAACAAATATAAAAATAAATACAATACCCCCAAAATACAAAATAAAATTTAAAAAATTATTATAAATAAATAGTTATGATTGAATAGATATAAAATATTCCTATAAAATATAAAATGCAAAATAATATATAAAATAAATATAAAACCAGAAGTAAATAATTTATTTAAACACAAATTAATTAAAATTTTATAATTAAGGCAAACATAAAAAGAATAATGAAGGTAAATGTAAAAATAGGAATAAACAAAAATAAATTAAAAGCTAAAATGAAAGCTTAAAAACAAAAATAAAAAGGGAAAAATAGTTTTAAAATAAAAATGAAAATAACAGTTAATAAAAATAAAAATTAATTTTACCATTTTAGAAATACAATTATTTTAATGTTAAAGTTGAAATCAAAGCCTAGAGAAGAAAAATTAAAATTAATTAATTTTTTTTAATCCACTACCAAACAAAATTAATTTAAAAATTAGAAATTAAAACCTAAAACCAAAATAAATTAAAAACTAAAAAATAAAAACAAATTTTAAAAAAAAGAAAATAAAAAGAAAAATTAAAATAGAAATAAAAATAATAGAAATAGAAATTGAGATTGAAATAAAAATAATAATAAAAAAACAAAAATAAAAATAAAATTTAAAAATAGAAATAAAAATAAAAATCCAATAAACAAAATAAAATTATAAATGAAGAAACACGACCTAAGAATCCACATTTTTTCTGGTGGAATTCCAGATTTTGGGTTGGAAAAGGTGCAGAGGAACCCCCCGACCCCCTCCAGTGTTTCCCCAGCATTTCTCCTCCAAAATTCCTGGAAAAAAAAAAAAGGGAAAAATCCCAGGCCTCACATTCCTGAACCTGAATTGGTGTTGGGATACTCAGAATTCTGGAAAGTGCTGGGATTTTGGGGTGATGGGAAATGTCGGGATATGGGACGGGGAAGGGGATTGGAGGGATGGGATAATGGGATAATGGGATAATGGGATTTGGGTTGGGGTGGGATGGGGTTGGGATTGGGATTAGGATTGGGATTGGGATGGGATGGGATGGGATGGGATTGGGGTTGGGGATGGGATGGAATTGGGATTGGGATAGGAACACAAGTGGGATGGGATTTGGATTAGGATTGGAACTGGGATTGGGATTGGGATTGGGACTGGGATTGGATTGGATGGGATTGGGATTGGAGAGGGGATGGGATTTGGATTGGGATGGGATTGAGATGGGATGGGATGGAATTGGAATTGGGATGGGATTTGGATTGGGATGGGATTGGGATTGGGACTGGGCCTGGAGATGGGGTGGGGATTGGGATAGGATTGGCAATGGGATGGAATTGGAATTGGAATTGGAATTGGGATTGGAATTGGAATTGGGATGGGATGGGATGGGGATGGGATGGGATTGGGGTTGGGGATGGGATGGGGATTGGGATAAGATTGGAAATGGGATGGGATTGGGGTTGGGGATAGGATTGGAATTGGATTTGGGATTTGGATTAGAATTGGGATTTGGATTGGTATTGGGATTGGAATTGGGATTGGGATTGGGATTGGGATTGGAATTGGGATTGGGATACAGATGAAAATGGAGATGGGATGGGATAAGGATGGACAAGGGACAGAAAAGGGATGGAGATGGATGAAGATGGGATGGGATTGGGACTGGGATGGGATGGGATGGGATGGGATGGGATGGGATGGGATGGGATGGGATGGGATGGGGATGCAGATGGGATGCCGGGATTTGGGATGCTGCAAATCCCCTTTTTCCTGCTTTGCCATATCCAGGGATACACCGTGGCAGGATCCCGGGGTCGCCCCCAGCTCCAGCGTCTCCCTTTTGTTTTCCCTCCTCCGGCTCCTGTTCCCGAGGAACTTCCCGAGCAAATGGTGGGAAACCATGGAAACCACCCGCTCCCGTCAGAATCCGGGCAGGAAAAAAGCAGGAAAAAGGCAGGAAAAGGTCGGGAAGGGCCAGACCCCTTCCCTTTCCCCATGGCAATCTCAAGGACTCACCCGGAACTTGGAAAAAAAATGTTTAATTCCAGATAAAAACTCCGAAATTCCTCATTTTCCCAACACCAGTGATGCATCTTCACTGGATTCCTGGGAAGAGCTGGGAATTCCGGGAAAAAAAACCCTTGGAGGGAAAAAGTCATGGGGAAAAGGGTGGAGGAGGTGGGATACTCCCAGGGATGTTCCCACTGATGGTTTTCCATGTGTCAAATCCCGTGGGATTTACCCATTCCAAGAGCTGGGATAAGGATCGCCGTTCACAGCGTGGATTCCTGGATCCCTGAAAACTGCGGGAAAAGCCCCTAAATCCTTTAATTCCTCATTTGATCCCTATTTGTCAGGGAAATCCCTTCCCCCCAGAGCATTCCCAGTTTGGATCCACGCCAGAGAGCGGCAGGAAAATTTGGGATTTGGGCACAGAACCACACAGGGAGGTACATCGATAACATTCCTAATATTTATTAAAGTTTATTAACGATAAAAACCTGAGACGTTACAAACAAATATTCTTCGTATCCCTGCCCATCCTCCTTTTTTTTTTCCCCCCACCTGGAAAAGCTGGAAAAGCACCCGGAGAGCCCCACCAGGAGGCGCCCTAGGTGGGGACATCCTCAAGGACGCGGACGCGGAGCGGGCAGATCCGGAGCGTGTTGGTGTTGGCGTCCCCCTGGGAGCTCCCCACGTAGAAGTAGGGGAAGACGACGCCGCCGAACTTCTCGTGGAAGGTGTAGATGTGGCTCCGGAGCTCGGCGTCGTAGAAGGACAATTCCCCCTCGGTGCAGTCCAGCTCCACCCGGACCCGCCGGATGTTGCCCAGCGCCGTCTGCGAGCGCACGGCGTTGGACGCCCGGCACTCGTCCTTGCCGTGGAGGTGGTAGATGTACCAGAAGCCCGAGCGGGAATCGTGGTGGAAGCTCCAGTGGGATCCTCTGTGGGGCCGGGACACGCCCACCCTCCAGTTGGTCAGCCCGCCCAGGTCCACCTCCCAGGTGTGGAAGCCTTCGGAGAAGCCGCGGGATCCCAGGATGCAGGGGGCGGAGGTGAAGCGCTCCGGGTTTTCCACGGAGCCTTTGTAGACGCAGCTGGAGACGCTGGAGAGGTCCTCGGAGACGGAGAGCCAGCCGGCGGCAGAGTTGGGGTCCAGGCTGAAGGGGACTGGCCGGGAAGGGGAAGGTTTTGTGGGAAGTTCGCAGCTCTGTGGAGCCCTCCGTGGATCCACCCATGCATTCATCCCTCCATCCATCCATGGATCTTTCCATGGATTCGTCCATGGATCCTTCCATCCATCCATGGATTCATCCATCCCTCCATCCATCCACAGATTCTTCCATTGATCTGTCCATCTGTCCCTCCATCCAAGGATCCCTCCTTCCCTCCCTCCACCCATCCATCCATCCATGGATCCATCCCTCCATCCATCATCCATCCATCATCCATCCATCCATCTATCCATAGATTCATCTGTCCATCCATCCATCCATCTGGGGATCCATGCATCCATTTGTCCATCTGTCCCTCCATCCAAGGATCCCTCCTTCCCTCCCTCCACCCATCCATCCATCCATGGATCCATCCCTCCATCCATCATCCATCCATCATCCATCCATCCATCCATCCATAGATTCATCTGTCCATCCATCCATCCATCTGGGGATCCATGCATCCATTTGTCCATCTGTCCCTCCATCCAAGGATCCCTCTTGCCCCTCCATCCCTGGATCCATCCCTCTATCCATCCATGGATCCTTCCATGGATTAATCCATCCCACCATCCATGGATCCATCCCTTCATCCATCCATGGATGCCTCCATGCATCCATGCATCCTTCCGTTGATCTTTCCACCTGTCCATCCATCCATGGATCCATCTCTCCATCCATTCATAGATCCATCCATCCACCCATCCATCTCATCCATCCACGGATCCACTCATGGATCCATCCATCCATTTATCCATCCATTTATCCATCCATTTATCCATCCATCATCCATCCATCCATCCATCCATCCATCCATCCATCCATCCATCCATCCATTCATCCATTTATCTATCCATCCCTATCCCTGATTCCATCCATCCTTCCATGGATCCATCCATCCATCCATCCATCACTATCCATGGATTTGTCCCTGGCAAACGCACATTCCCAAGTTCCCCCTTTGAGGAAAAAGCCCCTCCCTTCACTTCCCCAATCCCCAATCCCAGCTCCACATTTCTCATCTTTCCAGACCCCACAACCACCATTTTTAGGGAAGAATCCATCTCCACACTTCCCGTCTTTCCAGACCCCCTGGAAAACCCCGTTCCGGACATTCCCGGCTCCTCACCGGCGGTGATGGTGTCCAGCATCTTCTTCCACACATTGTACTGCAGCGATCCCAGGTACTTGGCCACGTCCAGGAGCATTCCCAAGGGAACAGCTTCCGGCTCCTCGGCCGTGCAGGCGATCCTAGGGCAGGGATTGACCACGGAGAAAGGATTGGGATGAGGCACCCGGCATCTCCCAAGCTTCTTCTCCCTCAATTCCCACAAAATCTGGGATTTAACGCTTCCCGCAAACCCTGAAATTCCGCTTCGTGTACCCGCCATCCTGCCCGGAGCACCCAGGGGACATCCAGCACCTCGGAGGGGATGCTGGAATTTTCTTGGAGCTGGGACCTCAGGAGACCCCCATGCAGCCACCGGGAAGGGCTCAGCCATTCCCAAATTCCCATGGATACAACGGGATCAGGACCTACCTCCGCTTGCGGTTCTTGTGGGTCTGGAAAACAAAAGAGGGAGACACCGCGAATCAGATCCCGGCCGCCACCGGAATTCCGACAGCCGATGGATCACACGGGGGAGGCGGGATCCAGGCCGGGAGCGGGATCCCGGTGGGAATGAGCACCGGGAATGTGGGAATTACCATCAGGAATTTGTAGTCGTCCTGCTTGAGATCGGCGCGGAGCCGCGCGGCCTCGTTGAGCAGGGCCTGGCTGGCCTCGGCCAGCTCCTCCATCTTTCCCTGGATCAGATCCTGCTTCCGCCCCGTCTCCTCCCGGATCTGCGCCAGCACCGCCTGCTCCTCGTCCCACAGGAACTTGTGCAGCTTCTCGAATTCCCACTTCACCTGCCGCTCCAGACGCTCCGATTCCACCTGGGAATGTCGGCACCTTGCTCCAGGTGGGGACGGCGGCAGCGCCCCGATTCCCTGGGGTCCCCTTCCAGGCAGCTCCAGAGCTCAGGGATCCCCTGGGATCACGCTGCACTTCCCAAATTCCCATCCCCACTTCCCAAATCCCCACTGCTCTCCTTTTCCGGGATGGGATCAGTGCTCCAACCCCAGCTCCGTGTGCAAGATCGGGATCAGGATCAATCCCACCTCTGGAGCACCCAAATTCCCTGGATTCCACCTTCAGAGAGCTCAGGGATTCCCTGGGATCACTGGGGTCACCCTGCCCTTCCCAAATTCTCATCCCCACTTCCCAAATCTCCACCACTGTTTTTTTCCGGGATGGGATCAGGGCTTCCCTCCAGCTGCATTCCCAATCAGGACCAGGATCAATCCCCCCTCTGGAGCACCCAAATTCGGATGGAATCCGTGCTCCACTCCAGTGCATGTGAAGGATCGGGATTGGGATCAATCCCACCTCTGAAGCGCCCGAATTCCCTGGATTCCACCTTCACAGAGCTCAGGGATTCCCTGGGATCTCTGGGGTCACCCTGCCCTTCCCAAATTCTCATCCCCACTTCCCAAATCTCCACCACTGTTTTTTTCCGGGATGGGATCAGGGCTTCACTCCAGCTGCATTCCCAATCAGGATCAGGATCAATCCCACCTCTGGAGCACCCAAATTCCCTGGATTCCACCTTCAGAGAGCTCAGGGATTCCCTGGGATCACTGGGGTCACCCTGCCCTTCCCAAATTTCCATCTCCACTTCCCAAATCCCCACCGCTCTCCTCTCCCAAATGGGATCAGGTCTTTACTCCAGCTGCATTCCCAATAAGGATCGGGATTAATCCCACCTTGGGAGCACCCAAATTCCCTGGATTCCCCTTCCCAGAGTTCAGGGATTCCCTGGGATCACACTGCCCTTCCCAAATCCCCACCACTCTCCTCTCCCAGGATGGAATCAGTGCTCCACCCCAGCTGCATGTGCAGGTTTGGGATCAGGATCAATCCCACCTCTGAAGCACCCAAATTCCCTGGATTCCCCTTCCCAGAGTTCAGGGATTCCCTGGGATCACACTGCCCTTCCCAAATCCCCACCACTCTTTTTTTTCCGGGATGGGATCAGGGTTTTACTCCAGCTGCATTCCCAATCAGGATCAGGATCAATCCCACCTCTGAAGCGCCCAAATTCCCTGGATTTCCCCTTCCCAGAGCTCAGGGATTCCCTGGGATTCAATGGGATCACCCTGCCCTTCCCAAATTTCCATATCCACTTCCCAAATCCCCACTGCTCTCCTTTTCCAGGATGGAATCAGTGCTCCAACCCCGGCTGCATGTGCAGGTTTGGGATCAGGATCAATCCCACCTCTGGAGCACCCAAATTCCCTGGATTCCCCCTTCCCAGAGCTCAGGGATTCCCTGGGATATCTGGGATCATGCTGCGCTTCCCAAATTCCCATCCCCACTTCCCAAATCCCCACCACTCTTTTTTTTCCGGGATGGGATCAGGGTTTTACTCCAGCTGCATTCCCAATCAGGATCAGGATCAATCCCACCTCTGAAGCACCCAAATTCCCTGGATTCCCCCTTCCCAGAGCTCAGGGATTCCCTGGGATTCAATGAGATCACGCTGCCCTTCCCAAATTCCCTTCCCTGCTTCCCAAATCCCCACCGCTCTCCTCTCCCAAATGGGATCAGGGCTTTACTCCAGCTGCATTCCCAATAAGGATCGGGATTAATCCCACCTTGGGGGCACCCAAATTTCCTGGATTCCCCTTCCCAGAGCTCAGGGATTCCCTGGGATTCAATGGGATCACGCTGCCCTTCCCAAATTCCCTTCCCTGCTTCCCAAATCCCCATCACTCTCCTCTGCTGGATGGGACCGGAGCTCCATCCCAGTGAACGTGCAGGATCGGGATCAGGATTGGGATCAGGATTGTCAGGATTGGGATCAGGATTGGGATCGGGATCAGGATCGGGATCGGGATCAGGATTGGGATTGATCCCAGCTCCGAGAGGGAACACGCACCTCGTTGTGCCGGGAGATGGATTCGTAGGATCGCCGCACGGCCCCGAAATCCTTGGCCTTATCCCGCAGGGATGACTCCATGTTCGCCAGCTTGGCCTGCGGGGAGGAGACGCCCTCAGGACTCCCCCATTCCCGGGATTTTCCGGGATTTTTCCAGGATAAACACCCCTGGAGCAGGATCCTTGCTCCATCCAACTCTTCCCCTCCGACAGGCAGGAAGAGGAGCTTTGCTCCATAGGGAATCCTCCTCCCTGTTTTTTAGGGATATCCCATCCCAGTGCCGTGGCAGCCCCATTCCCGTTCCCATTCCCATTCCCATTCCTGTTCCCATTCCCAGGAACACCAGCCAAGCTTTTCCCGCCACGTTTGAAATCCAGCGGGATGAGTCAGGGCGGCGCCGGCTGTTTTCCAGCGTGTCCTGGCAGCATTCCCAGCTCCTGGCTGCATCCCATCCTCCTCCTCCCCCTCTTCCTCCTCCTCCTCCTCCTCCTCAGGCAGCCACAGCCCGCGCCTCCTTTCTGCTGGAATTGTGCAACTCCCAAATCCCAGCCCCGCTCCCAAACCCTGGAATAACCAGCGTGGCCGGATCCAGGCTGGGATCAAGGGAATCACCAAACCGCCGGGAATAATCATCCCGCTCCCCTTTCCCGCAGGATTGTTATCCGGGATGGCGCCGGATAATTAAAAGGCAGGAGAGCACCCAGCAGCCGCCACATCCCTGCAGGGAAGCGTGGCTGCCTCATCCCAAATCCTGGCAAATTTGGGACAGCGCCAAGTTTTAGGGATGCGTCTTGTCATCCATCTATGGATGCATCCATGGATCCAATCCCTCCATCCATCTCTGTTCATCCATGGATCTATCCATCGCTCCCTCCCTCCATCCTTCCATGGATCCATCCCTCCATCCATGGATCCATCTTTGGATCCATCCCTCCATGGATCCATTCCTCCATCCCTTCATCCATGGATCCATCCCTCCATCCATCCATGAATCCATCCATCTATGGACCTATCTATGCATCCATCAATGGATCCATCATCCATCCCTCCATCCATCTATGGAGCCATCCCTCCATCCATCTATGGTTCCATCTATGGATCCATGGATCCATCCATCCCTGCATCCATCCATGGATCCATGGATCCATCCATCCCTCCATCCCTCCCTCCCTCCCCCCCCTCCCTCCTCCCTCCCTCACCCTAAAATCCGCCGCCGCCTCCTGCACCGGCCTCATCTTGTGCCCCTCGTGCTGCTCGGAGCTCTGGCAGGCGAAGCACGCCAGCTCCTTGTCCTCCAGGCAGAAGAACTTGTGCTCCTCCTGGTGCAGCGGGCACAGAGCCGCGCCGCGGCTCTGCCGCTGCCCTTCCTCCTTCATCACCAGCTCCACCAGGTTCTTGAGCGTGTGGTTGACGCGGAGATCTTCCAGCGAGGACCTCTCCTTGCACAGGGGACACGCGTGCCGCTGGTTCTCCCACGAGCGGCTGATGCAGCTCCTGCAGAAGTTGTGGCCGCACCCCAGGGTCACGGCTTCCCGGAACGGCTCGTAGCAGATGGGGCACAGCAATTCCTCCTTCAAGCCCTGCGTGCTGCACGGAGCTGCCGAGCTGCTGGAGCAGGGATCGTCTTCTTTTTCCATGCTGCGGGGAGGGATTTTTGGGAACGCGATTTTTTTTTTTTTTTTTCTTTTTTTTCCCTCCCTCCCGAACTGCCCCGACCGGACCGACGGCTCCGCTTCTGATGCAACCGCTCGGTTTCCTGCCGGTGACTCAGCCGCGCTCCCTCCCGCACGCTGACACCGCCCCGGGGCCGCTGCCGGGGGGGTTCCGGCCCGCGGGGACGGCGGCAAGAGCGGCCGGGACCCCCCCAGATCCGGGGTCGGACCGAGAGCCGAGACCTGGACACGCCCCGGTGCCCGGTTCTGGGTCCCCACACCCCGGTCTCCCAAACTCGGGGCAGCCCCAGTGCCCGGTTCTGGGTCCCCTCACCCCGGTCCCCCAAACTCGGGGCAGCCCCGGTGTCCGGTTCTGGGTCCCCACACCCCGGTCTCCCAAACTCGGGGCAGCCCCAGTGCCCGGTTCTGGGTCCCCTCACCCCGGTCCCCCAAACTCGGGGCAGCCCCGGTGCCCGGTTCTGGGTCCCCACACCCCGGTCCCCCAATCTCGAGTTGCTCCGGTGCCGGATTCGGGACCCCAGGTCCCGGTCCCGGTCCCCCAAACTCGGGGCAGCCCCGGTGCCCGGTTTGGGATCCCCACACCCCGGTCCCCCAAACTCGGGGCAGTCCCGGTACCCGGTTCTGGGTCCCCAGGTCCCGGTCCCCCAAATTCGGGGCAGCCCCGGTGCCCAGTTCGGGGCTCCCCCGGTGCCCGGTTCCCCCCTTTTTCTGCGCCGGGACACCCCCGGTGACCGGACCCGGATTTGGACCCCCACCCCGGGGTTCTCCCCGGGCCCCGGGGCAGCCCCGGTTCCCCAAAACTCGGCACCGGACCGGTGTTCCCCCAACCCGGGGCAGTCCCGGGTGTCCAGACCTCCAATCCCGGGGCTGCCCCTGTGCCGGGACCCCCAATCCCGGGGCCGCTCCGGTGTCCCGTACCCCAATCCCGGTGCCCCGTACCCCAATCCCGTTGCCCCGCACCCCAATCCCGGCAGCCCCGGTGTCCGGTTCTGGGTCCCCACACCCCGGTCCCCCAATCTCGAGTTGCTCCGGTGCCGGATTCGGGACCCCAGGTCCCGGTCCCGGTCCCCCAAACTCGGGGCAGCCCCGGTGCCCGGTTCGGGATCCCCAGGTCCCGGTTCCCCCAAACTCGGGGCAGCCCCGGTGCCCGGTTCTGGATCCCCACAGCCCGGTCCCCCAAACTCGGGGCAGCCCCGGTGCCCGGTTCTGGGTCGCCCGGTTCTGGGTCCCCTCACCCCGGTCCCCCAAATTCGGGGCAGCCCCGGTGCCCGGTTCTGGGTCCCCAGGTCCCGGTCCCCACCTCGGGGCTGCTCCGGTCTCAGCAGTTCGGGGCTCCCCCGGTGCCCGGTTCCCCCCTTTTTCTGCGCCGGGACACCCCCGGTGACCGGACCCGGATTTGGACCCCCACCCCGGGGTTCTCCCCGGGCCCCGGGGCAGCCCCGGTTCCCCAAAACTCGGCACCGGACCGGTGTTCCCCCAACCCGGGGCAGTCCCGGGTGTCCAGACCTCCAATCCCGGGGCTGCCCCTGTGCCGGGACCCCCAATCCCGGGGCCGCTCCGGTGTCCCGTACCCCAATCCCGGTGCCCCGTACCCCAATCCCGGTGCCCCGTCCCCAATCCCAGTGTCCCGTACCCAATCCCAGTGCCCCGTACCCCAATCCCGGTGTCCCGTACCCCAATCCCGGTGCCCCGTACCCCAATCCCGTTGCCCCGCACCCCAATCCCGGTGCCCCGTACCCCAATCCCGGTGTCCCGTACCCCAATCCCAATGCCCCGTACCCCAATCCCGGTGTCCTCGTGCCCAATCCCGGTGTCCCGTACCCCAATCCCGGTGTCCCGTACCCAATCCCGGTGCTCCGTACCCCAATCCCGGTGTCCCGTACCCAATCCCGGTGCCCCGTACCCAATCCCGGTGTCCCGTGCCCAATCCCGGTGCCCGGTCCCCATCCCCCAACCACGGCCCCCCATCCCGGAGCCACTCCGGTGTCCCGTACCCAATCCCGGTGTCCCGTACCCAATCCCGGTGCCCCGTACCCCAATCCCGGTATCCCGTACCCATTCCCGGTGCCCGCTCCCGCTCCGTCCCCCACCCCGGCCCCTCTCCACGTGGCATCCCGGTACCTCCGGGCCCTTCCCGGTGCCCGCTGCCGGTTCCGGGGGGGTGCCACAGGCGGGCGGGGGTCTCACCTGGCCGAGGGGCACCGCTTGCACCGCGCCTTCCTCCGCTGCAACCGGAGCAGGGGGCCCCGCTCGGCTTCCTGCGACATCCCGGTGTTCCCGATATTCCCGGTGCTCCCGGAGGGCGGAGCGGGATGGGAGGGTCGGGATGCAGCTCCGGGGGAGGTTCCCGCTGCTGGCCCGGCCTCTCCCGGCCCGGAGCCGCTTCCCGGTGGGATCGAGACCCCCCTCGCCAACCCGGGAATTTCGGGATCTCGGAAATTCCCATATCCGGTTCTCCCTCTGACCCCGTTTCCCACGGGAATGGGGTTTGCCGAGGAATCCAACCGGGATTTTCCAGGCGCGGCGTTGTGCCCGGTGCTGGTTTTCCCTTTTCCCTGTTTTTCACCCGCTCCAGAATTCCCTGTTTTGGTTTTTTTTTAATGTTTCTAAGCCGGGAGTCGCGTGGTGCCCCCCAAAATTCCGCCCCCGTTCACCAAAAAAAGCAAAAAATAAAAAAAAATTCCGCTGCTGGCCCGGCCTCTCCCGGCCCGGAGCCGCTTCCCGGTGGGATCGAGACCCTCCCCCGTCCCCAACCCGGGAATTTCGGGATCTCGGAAATTCCCATATCCGGTTCTCCCTCTGACCCCGTTTCCCACGGGAATGGGGTTTGCCGAGGAATCCAACCGGGATTTTCCAGGCGCGGCGTTGTGCCCGGTGCTGGTTTTCCCTTTTCCCTGTTTTTCACCCGCTCCAGAATTCCCTGTTTTGGTTTTTTTTTAATGTTTCTAAGCCGGGAGTCGCGTGGTGCCCCCCAAAATTCCGCCCCCGTTCACCAAAAAAAGCAAAAAATAAAAAAAAATTAAAAAAAAAAAATCCCGCCGTGGGAAGCGGGAGGAATTAAAAAATTATCCAAGGAAAAATGAAAAAAAGGAGGGGAAAAAAGAGAAAAAAAACGGAAAAAAAAAGAAAAAAAAAAAAAAAAAAAAAAAAACTCCCGCCGTGGGAAGCGGGAGGAATTAAAAAATTATCCAAGGAAAGATGAAAAAAAGGAGGGGAAAAAAGAGAAAAAAAACGGAAAAAAAAAGAAAAAAAAAAGAAAAAAAAAAGGACAAAAAAGGGAAAAAGGGGGAAAAAAAGGGAAAAAAAGGAAAAAAAAAGGAAAAAAAGAAAAAAAGGGGAAAAGGGAAAAAAGAAAAAAAAGAAAAAAGAAAAAAAAGAAGGGAAAAAAAGAAAAAATAAAGAAAAAAAGAGAGAAAAAAGAAAGGAAAAAAGGAAAAAAAAAACCAACCCCAAAGAATAAAAAAAAAAAAAGAAAAAAAAGTTGTTTTTTTTCCCAAACCTTGGGAGCCGTGTTTTCCACAGGCTCGGAGTCCAAGGTTAAAGATAAAACCGGCCGGGAATTGGCTCCGGGAATGTGGGAATGAGATTTGACTGGTGGGAAGAGGGGGGTGGAGGCTGGCAGGGACGGGAAAAATCCCTGCTGGAAAAATCCCGGCCTCTGGAGCCATCCCGGCCTGGAATTTTTGGGAATTAGGGACAGGCAAAGGTGACTGGGGTGGGGTTTTTTTGGGATGATGGAATTATTTAGGGTGGAAAACCCTCAGGAATCAGGGAATTCCAGAATCCCTGTCCCCCCTCCCCCCCTGCCCAAATCCACAGGGATTTGAAATCCCACCAGGAATAGGGACTGGAAACCCTTTCCAGGCAGGAATTCTTTCCAGGTTCTTTTCTCCACCGGGCAGAATTCCAGCCTAGAGCATTCCATGGATCTGGGGATCCTTGGAGCTGTCAGGGATATTTGGGATTTTTGGGAAGGAGTTCTTCCCTGGGAGGGTGGGGAGGAGCTGGGCTGGAATTCCCAGGGAATTCCCGGACAGGAGTGTCCAGGGAAAGGTTGGAGCATGCTGGGATTGTGAAATTCCAAGAATTTGATGATTCCTGGCCTCAGATCCCACGGTTTTGTGGCATTTCCCAGAATTCCAGGAATTCCCTGGTTCATGGAAAATGTGGGGTTGGAATTGGGATGGGATTTAAACTTCCATCCTGGAATTCCAGGCCTCAGATCCCACAGCTTTGTGGCACTTCCCAGAATTCCAGGAATTCCCTGGTTCATGGAAAATGTGGGGTTGGAATTGGGATGGGATTTAAACTTCCATCCTGGAATTCCAGGCCTCAGATCCCACAGCTTTGTGGCACTTCCCAGAATTCCAGGAATTCCCTGGTTCATGGAAAATGTGGGGTTGGAATTGGGATGGGATTTAAACTTCCATCCTGGAATTCCAGGCCTCAGATCCCACAGCTTTGTGGCACTTCCCAGAATTCCAGGAATTCCCTGGTTCATGGAAAATGTGGGGTTGGAATTGGGATGGGATTTAAACTTCCATCCTGGAATTCCAGGCCTCAGATCCCACAGCTTTGTGGCACTTCCCAGAATTCCAGGAATTCCCTGGTTCATGGAAAATGTGGGGTTGGAATTGGGATGGGATTTAAACTTCCATCCTGGAATTCCAGGCCTCAGATCCCACAGCTTTGTGGCACTTCCCAGAATTCCAGGAATTCCCTGGTTCATGGAAAATGTGGGGTTGGAATTGGGATGGGATTTAAACTTCCATCCTGGAATTCCAGGCCTCAGATCCCACAGCTTTGTGGCACTTCCCAGAATTCCAGGAATTCCCTGGTTCATGGAAAATGTGGGGTTGGAATTGGGATGGGATTTAAACTTCCATCCTGGAATTCCAGGCCTCAGATCCCACAGCTTTGTGGCACTTCCCAGAATTCCAGGAATTCCCTGGTTCATGGAAAATGTGGGGTTGGAATTGGGATGGGATTTAAACTTCCATCCTGGAATTCCAGGCCTCAGATCCCACAGCTTTGTGGCACTTCCCAGAATTCCAGGAATTCCCTGGATGTTGGGGACACCCGGACGTGCTCCCATTCCCGAGCTGCTCCGCACACAGATCCAGGTTTTGGGAATGATTTATTAACCCCTGCCAGGAACTCCCGGCTCAGATCCAGGGAAATCCACACCCGGCGCCGGCGATTCCCAGGTTCAGCTCCATCCCGGTGGGATCCGTGTCCGGAATATCCCCGGGAATGGGAAGGCTGAGCTCACTGGCCTTGCGTGGATCCCAAATATTCTTCCAGGAGCATTCCCAGCTCCGAGTTCTGCCGCTGCAGGGCGGTGGCCTCGGAAAAGAGCTGGGATCTCCGGGTCAGCACTTTGCTGGGAAAGGGACACCGGGATAACGTGGAAAATCCATGGGATTACGTGGAAAATCCCTGGAATTGTCCCAGTCCTGCCACGCCCCCCCAGGCACTCACTGATATTCCGAGAGTGCGGCTCCAAGCGCGTCCCAAAGTTTGAGTTTCCGCTCGGGAATGACGCGGGTGAAGGCTTCCCAGTATTCCCCGTCCTTGGAATTGTCCCGGAGATCCTGGATTTCCTTGGGGGGTCCTTCGTCCCTGCGGGTGGAAAACAAAGCTTTGGGATGGAGATGGGAAGCTTGGGATGGAGAAGGAACCCTTGGGATGGAGAATGAATTCTTAGGAATAGCGAACAAATCTTTGGGATAGAGGACAAATCCGTGGCAATTGGGGATTCAAAACTGGGAAAAAAAATCCTTGGGAAGGAGAACAAATCTTTGGGATGGAGAGAAAATCTTTGGGAAGGAGAACAAAACTTTAGGATGGAGAACAAATACTTGGGAAGGAAAACAAAACTTTGGGATGGAGAGAAAATCCTTGGGATGGAGAACAAATCTTTGGGATTAGAGAACAAATCTTTGGGAATAGTGGACAAATCTTTGGGATAGAGAACAAATCCGTGGCAATTGGGGATTCAAAACTGGGAAACAAATCCTTGGGATGAAGAACAAATCCTTGGGATTTTAGGATAGAGAACAAATTTTTTGGAAGGAGAACAAATCTTTGGGATGGAGAGCAAATCCTTGGGATGGAGAACAAATCTTTGGGAATAGTGGACAAATCTTTGGGATAGAGAACAAATCCGTGGCAATTGGGGATTCAAAACTGGGAAACAAATCCTTGGGATGAAGACAAATCCTTGGGATTTTAGGATGGAGAACAAATCTTTGGGAAGGAGAACAAATCTTTGGGATGGAGAGCAAATCCTTGGGAATAGAGAACAAATCTTTGGGAACAGTGGACAAATCTTTGGGATAGAGGACAAATCCGTGGTATGGAGAACAAATCTTTGGGAATAGTGGACAAATGTTTGGGATAGAGGACAAATCCTTGGCAACTGGGAATTCAAAACTGGGAAACAAATCCTTGGAAAGGAGAACAGATCTTTGGGATGGAGAACAAATGCTTGGGGAGGAGAACAAATCTTTGGGATGGAGACCAAATCCTTGGGATGGAGAACAAATCCTTGGGATTAGAGAACAAATCTTTGGGAATAGTGAACAAATCTTTGGGATCAGAACAAATCCTTGGGATGGAGAACAAATCCTTGGGATGGAGAACAAATCCTTGGGATGGAGAACAAATCCTTGGGATGGAGAACAAATCCTTGGGATGGAGAACAAATCCTTGGGATGGAGAACAAATCTTTGGGATAGAGAACAAATCCGTAGCAATTGGGAATTCAAAACTGGGAAACATAACCTTGGGAAGGAAAAGAAAACTTTGGGATAGAGAGCAAATATTTGGGATGGAGAGAAAACTCTTGGAATGGACAACAAATTCCTGGGCATGGAGAACAAATCTTTGGGATGGAGAAGAAATCCATGGGATGGAGAACAAATCTCTGGGATTGAAAACAAATCCTTGGGATGGAGAACAAATCCTTGGGAAGGAGAACAAAGCTTTAGGATGGAGAAGAAATTTTTGGCACGGAGAAGAAACTCTTGGAATGGACAGCAAATTCCTGGGATGGAGAACAAATCCTTGGGATGGAGAACAAGTCCTTGGGATGGAGAGCAAATCCTTGGGATGGAGAACAAGTCCTTGGGATGGAGAACAAGTCCTTGGGATGGAGAGCAAATATTTGGGAACAGAAAAAAAACCCAACCCTTGGAGTGGAGAACAAATCTTTGGGAAGGAGAACAAACTCTGCCTTTCCCGCCCTTCCCGGATCCTGGATCATCTCCTGCCTGGTGATTCCCAGCCTTGGGAATCTCCTGATCCCTCAGGGAAGGTCGGGAATCTCTTTCTCCAAGCAGAACAACCCAGGAACCCCCAGGACATTCCCTGGATCCCAGTTTGGCTCCAATCCCGGTGCCGTCCCTATTCCCACCTGAGCTTGACAAATTCCTGTAGGAATTCCCTCAGGATTGTCAGGACATGGTCCTCTTGGATGGACGGGATGCGAGGGGTGCTCCCGAGGGGCTGGCGCTGATCCCGCTGGGAATGGGATCCGCTCTTCCCTCGCTCCTCAGCCGGATCCGCGGGACCTTCCGCCTGGCTGACCTGGAGGGAGAAAAGCCTGGAATTTTCGGGATGAACACACGCATCCTCCTTGCCGGAATTCTTGGGAAGCCTTCCCGGGGATCCTGGGATCTGCCGGGCTCTCCCCTGGTGATCCCACCTGGATCTTGGGCGCGTGGTGGGATTCGTAGTCCAGGAAAAAATCCACGAGGGCGCGCAGCTCGTCCTCGTCCTCGATCCGGAGGGCCTGGAAAAGCGGGAATTCCGTCAGGGATGGGCAGGGGAAGGGACGGGGATTTTCCAGGAGCAGAGGGAATGATGGAATTCCGGCAAACTCCGGCTGAGGAAGGAATGGTTGGGAAGAGGTTGATGTGGGATAGCCTGGAATATCCATGGATTGGAAAGTCTGGGAACAGGCTGGAGGAGCCCTGGAGGCGTTTAAATAGTCAGGATGGGCTGGAGGTGGGAATCTGGGAATCATGGAATGTTCTGGGTGGGAAGGGAGGTCACAGCTCATCCCATTCCGTGGGCAGGGACACCTTCCATGATCCCAAACCTTGGACGTTCCCAGGGGTCCAGGGGCAGCCACGGCTTCTCTGGGAATTCCAGCCCAGCTGGGAATTCCTTCCCAAGATCCCACCATCCCAAGCTCCCCTTTCCCACTGGAAGCCATTCCCTGGCTCCTGGCCCTCCAGCCCTTTCCCAAATCCCAGCTCTCCTGGAGCCTCTGGAAAAGGCTCCAAGGATTCCCTGGATCCTTCCCTGATCCAGCTGCACATTCCCAGCTCTCCCAGCCTGGCATTGGATCCATCCCCATCCTGATTCCTCCTGGAGAAGGAATTTTGGAATCTGGGGGCTTCCCTGGGAATTCAGGACTCCAGGCAGGGTCTCCCTTCCCTTTTCCATCCCCATAAAATTCCATAAAAATCCCTCCAGATGGATTCCAAATGTCCTTGATCCCAGAATCCCCAACACCTCCCACTATCCCAGGTTTCTCCAAGCCCCATCCAGCCTTTCCTTGGAGACTCCCAGGGATTCTCTGGGAATTCCAGCCCAGCCGGGAATTCCTTCCCAAGATCCCACCATCCCAAGCTCCCCTTTCCCACTGGGAAGCCATTCCTTGTCTCCCATCCCTCCAGCCCTTTTCCAAATCCCAGCTCTCCTGGAGTCCCTTTTGGGATTCCCCGGATCCCTCCCTGATCCAGGTGAGCATTCCCAGCTCCACGTCCTCCTGGTGCTGAGCATTCCAAGCCCAATCCCGGGAGATCCCATCCCAGCTCACCTCGAAGATGGATCGGAGCTGCCGGACGTCATTCCTGGGCCCCACCACCTCCCGCAGCGGCTTTAGGAGTTTGTTTTCCAGCAGGAATTCCTTGGGAAAAAGGCCGGGAAAGAGGGGGCAGAGCCACGGTGAGCATTCCCAGCCCTCATTCCAAAGGGATCCACAAAAAAAACCCCTCTGGATCTGGGGCTGCTCCCGGATCCCGAGCTCCAGCACCCCTCACCGACTCCTTGCTCACGACCTCCAGGATTTTCCGGAGGGTGTTCCTGGGAATGCCTGGCCGGGATGTGATTCTTTTCTCAATCCTTTCCTGGTTTTCCTTCCCTCCCTCTGCGCTCCGCGATCCTTTCTTCTTACTCCTCCTCCCTTCCTGCTCCGGTTTTCCAGACTTGAGCCCTAAAAATCAGAGAGGGAAGCGGGAGCAAGATCCCAAAACGTGGGAATCCCTGGAAAACAAAGCTGCTGGGATGACAGCTGCTTGTTGGAACTGGGGAAAAAAACCCAACAAAACAGCGGGAATATCCCTTGGAATGAGCCAGCTCAAGGCTGGCACCTCCCGAAAAATCCCATCCGGAAACCCCCAGCGGGACACGGGAAGAACATTCCCAAGGAATTTACGGATCCCACCTTCCAGAAGCTTCGTGGCCAGCTCCATGGCATCCCCCTTTTCCTGGGCGCCTCCCAGGGGCCCCACGTTATCCATGAACCACAAGTGAGGTTCTTCCCACGGCATTCCCAGCTGCTGGACGTGGATGATCCGATCGGCATCCAGCGCTTCCCGGATCAGCGCTTTGGCCTCTTCCTCGTTCACGATCCAAACCTGACGGAATTTCTCGGCGCTGCTGCGCATCAGCTGCCTGCGGGAAAGGATCCCGAAGGGGTCGGATCCCGCTCCGCTGTTCCCGAGGGTGGAATTCCAAGCGCTTCCCACCTCATCCGGTTCCGCGTCTCCTGGAACTGCCCCGTGACCCGCTCCAGCTCCGACTCCAGGCTCTGCTTGTCCTCTTGGAATTTCATCTCCTGCTGGGCCATTTTGGCCTTCAGCAGTTCCAGGGACGTCCGCAATCTGGGAAGGGAGGAAGAGCGCGGGTTTGGGAATGCCCTGGACGCGGGAAAAGGTTTGGGAATGGGAGGGGGGTTCCCCGGGATGGGATTTACCGGTTGATTTTCCTTTTCTGCTGGGATCGGAGCGTGGAATTTTCCACGTCCAGCTGCCGGAGCACGTCCAGGTTGTATTCCAGCTTCACCTGGTTCAGGTGGTAAATCCCCTTCATCTGCCGGAGCTTCTTCTCCAGGTACTGGAATTCCACACGGGAACAAAAAAAAAAATTCACAAAGAACTCCATGAAAATTCTGTGGAATTCCATGGGGGAAAAAAACCCCCCAAAAACTACAAAGAATTCCATGGAAATTGGGTGGAATTCCATGGAAATTCGGTGGAATTCCATGTGAAAAAACCCACAAAGACAAGCCTGGAGTTTAGGGAAAACCCAGGGAAACTCCCAGAAAGGTTTGGATTTCCCAGGGAAAAAAAAAAAAAAAAAACCAGAAAAGTTGGAATTAAATCACAGCAGGGCCGAGAGTTTTTTCCCCTATCCAGAGGATGGAGGTGGTTCAGGTGGAAAACCCCCTTCATCTGCCGGAGCTTCTTCTCCAGGTACTGGAATTCCACACGGGAACAAAAAAAAAAATTCACAAAGAACTCCATGAAAATTCCGTGGAATTCCATGGGGGAAAAAAAAAACCCCAAAAACGACAAAGAATTCCATGGAAATTGGGTGGAATTCCATGGAAATTCAGTGGAATTCCATGTGAAAAAACCCACAAAGACAAGCCTGGAGTTTAGGGAAAACCCAGGGAAACTCCCAGAAAGGTTTGGATTTCCCAGGGAAAAAAAAAACAGAAAAGTTGGAATTAAATCACAGCAGGGCCGAGAGTTTTTTCCCCTATCCAGAGGATGGAGGAAAGCCACGATCCAGGGGTTAATTCCCAAAAATCCCACATCCAATGGCAGACCCTAAACAACCACCAGGGAAGTCCTTCCCAATCCCAGGCTCTCCCAGCTTGGAATTCCCACCCTAAATTCCAGTCCCAGCTTCAATTTCTGCTTCCAGGTTTATTTTTTTCCACTTGCAGTGAGCACAAGGAATTCCTGCTCCTCCTTTTTAGGGAATTCTGCATTAGTAGGGATTAATAACTGGATATTTTACACCTATTTGGGGAACAAAATATTCCTAATATCCTGTGGAAAAATATCCCTGGAGCAGCCTGAGGGATTCCTCCGTTATTTTCCCAAGGCTGCTCCCAAACTGGGATAAGGCCATGGAACACAGAGAGGGAAAATTATCTCCGGAGCCTCCCCCAGCCACAGCTCAAGGTCGTTTTCCCAACGTTTTTCCCGTCTTTCCAACGGCCCCACGGCATTATCTGGGAATTCTGAGCTCCGGCACGGAGCTGTTTCCATCCCAAAACACCTGGGAACATCCCACACTTCCGAGTTATCAGGAGCGGAGGGAGAGGAGCCTCTGGAGCCAGGCCAGGGAATGCCATGGAGCTGCTCCAGGGCTGGGAGAGCTGGGAATGTGCAGCTGGATCAGGGAAAGATCCAGGGAATCCTTGGAGCCTTTTCCAGAGGCTCCAGGAGAGCTGGGATTTGGGCAAGGGCTGGAGGGGCCAGGAGCCAGGGAATGGCTTCCAGTGGGAAAGGGGAGCTTGGGATGGTGGGATCTTGGGAAGGAATTCCCGGCCGGGCTGGAATTCCCGGAGAATCCCTGGATCCCTGGCAGTGCCCAAGGCCAGGCTGGATCACCCTGGGATCGTGGAAGTGTTGGGGTTGGAATGGGAATGGATTCAGGTCCCTTCCCACCCAAGCCATTCCAGGATTCCCAGAGGTGATTCCATGATCTGGGGCCTTTCCCGGTACCTGCACGTCCTGTTCCAGCTGGAATTTCATGCTGCTGTAGGTTTCCAGGCTCTCATCCTGCAGCTCGTTCAGCTGCCGCTCGAAATCCAGCGCCTTGTCCGTCTGCTTCCGCAGGAATTCCAGCTGTGGGAACAAGGAGAAGCTCATCCCACCTCATCCCACCTCATCCAAACTCCTCCAAACTCATCCCACGTTCTCCAACCTCATCCCACCCCATCCCACCTCTTTCCAATCTCATCCAAACTCCTCCAACCTCATCCCACGTCATCCACCTTCATTCTATCTCATCCAGCCTCATCCAAGCCCATCCCACATCCTCCCAGCTCATTCCACCTCATCCAACCTCATCATCCGACCTCCTCCCCATCCCACCTCATCCAATGTTCTCCAACCTCATCCAACGCCCTCCAATCTCATCTCACTTCATCCAACCCCATCCCACCTCTTTCCAATCTCATCCAACCTCATCCAACCTCCTCCAAACTCATCCCACGTTCTCCAACCTCATCCCACCCCATCCCACCTCTTTCATCCAACCCCATCCCACCTCATGCAACCTCATCCACTCTCATCCCACCTCATCCCATGCCATCCAGCCCCATCCCACCCCATCCAACCCCATCCCACCTCTTTCCAATCTCATCCAACACCGTCCAACCTCATCCCACCTCATCCATCCCAATCCATTCTCACCCCACCTCCTCCCACCCCATCCAACCTCCTCCATCACCATCCAACCTCATCCAACCCCCTCCCACCTCATCCGATCTCCTACCTTCTCCAACCCCATCCATCCCAATCCATTCTCATCCCACCTTATCCCATGTCATCCAGCTTCATCCAACCCCATCCCCCCTCATCCAACCTCATCCAACCCCTTCCAATCTCATGCAATCTCATCCAATCTCATCCATTCCTATCCATTCTCATCCCACCTCCTCCCATCTTATCCCATGTCATCCAGCCTCATCCAAACCCATCCAACCCCATGCAACCTCATCCAACCTTCTCCAAACTCCTCCTACCTTCTCCAACCCCATCCATCCCAATCCATTCTCATCTCATCTCATCCAGCCTCATCCAACCTCCTCCCACCTCATCCAACCCCATCCAACCTCCTCCAACTCCATCCAACCCCATCCATCCCAATCCATTCTCCCCCCCCCTCCACCCACACCATCCGACATCCTCCAACCTCATCCAACCTCCTCTCCCTACATCCAACCTCATCCCACCTCATCCCACCCAATTTCACCTCATCCAACCTCCTCTCCCTACATCCAACCTCATCCCACCTCATCCCACCCAATTTCACCTCATCCAACCTCCTCTCCCTACATCCAACCTCATCCCACCTCATCCCACCCAATTTCACCTCATCCAACCTCCTCTCCCTACATCCAACCTCATCCCACCTCATCCCACCCAATTTCACCTCATCCAACCTCCTCTCCCTACATCCAACCTCATCCCACCTCATCCCACCCAATTTCACCTCATCCAACCTCCTCTCCCTACATCCAACCTCATCCCACCTCATCCCACCCAATTTCACCTCATCCAACCTCCTCTCCCTACATCCAACCTCATCCCACCTCATCCCACCCAATTTCACCTCATCCAACCTCCTCCCACCTCATCCAACCTCCTCCAACCCCATCCCACCTCCTCCCACCCCATCCAACATCCTCCAACCTCATCCAACCTCCTCCAACCCCATACAACCCCATCCCACCTTCTCCCACCCCATCCAACCTCCTCCATCCCGATCCCAGCCTGTTCCCACCCCAATCGCAAAAATCCCATCTCCTTCATGCTGCCTTCCAGGGCAGAGCTGATCCCGGCATTCCCATCAGGACCTGGAGAGGGTCCAGGGAAGGGAATGGATTGGGAATGGGGCTGGAGCACCGGGAGCAGCTGAGGGAGCTGGGAAAAAAAGTCTCAGCCTGGAGAAAAGGAGGCTCCAGAGGGAACTTCCCCTTTCTGGAATTCCCGGAAAAGTTGGAGCCAGGTGGGATCGGCCTCCACTCCCACAGGATAAGAGGGGAAGTGCCAGGGGAGGTTTACCTGGATATTGGGAACAATTCCCACCTGGAAAGGGTTTTCCAGCCCTGGAAGAGCTGCCCAGGGCAGGGTGGAGTCCCCATTCCCGGTGGGATTGAAATCCATGTGGGATTTGGCCCTTTTGGGAGCATGGATCAGCACTGGGAATGGTTGGACTCGGTGATCCCAGAGGACTTTCCCATCCTCAGCGATTCCCGTGATCCCAAATCTCCCACGGGATTCACCTCCTGCTCGTTGTGGGCCTGGATGGCCTCATTCCACCTCTTCCGGTTGCTGACCAGCATTTCCCGACGCTCCTCCTCGAACGTTTTCTGCGGAAAAGACGGGAATTCCACGCCGGGATCTCGGGAATGGCAACAGCCGGGCAGCCACGCTTTGGGATCGCTCCCAAAATCATTCCCAACCCCTCAGAGCTCCGGATTCCGGCCTCACCCGCCAAGATTTTATCCTAAATTCCAAGGTTTTTTTTTTCCAAAATAAAGAAACAAAGTGGTTTTCCGTCTTTTCCCGCTTTTCCCGGGATTTGGGTACCTCAATCTGCCGGAGGTTGTGGCGGTAGGCTTTGAGCATATTCCTGGTTTGTTCTTCCATCCTTTCCAGGAGAACCCGGATGGCATCCGCCTGCTCCTTCAGGTCCTGCTCGTACTGCTCATCCCTGGCCTTCAGCGCCTGGAAAAACCGGGAGACGGGAGGCCGGAATCAGTGGGAATCCAGCGGGAATCCTCAGGGAAAGGGCAGGACGTGGAATTATTGTGCATTGGGTGAGAAGGAACTTTAAGGATCACCCAGTTCCAACCCAACGAGCCCAAGGTGATCCAACCTTTTCTTGGACACCACCAGGGATTCTCTGGGAATTCCAGCCCAGCTGGGAATTCCTTCCCAAGATCCCACCATCCCAAGCTCCCCTTTCCCACTGGAAGCCATTCCCTGGCTCCTGGCCCTCCCCCCCTTTCCCAAATCCCAGCTCTCCTGGAGCCTCTGGAAAAGGCTCCAAGGATTCCCTGGATCCTTCCCTGATCCAGCTGCACATTCCCAGCTCTCCCAGCCTGGCACTGGATCCATCCCCTTCCCGACTCCTCCTGGAGAAGGAATTTTGGGATCCAGGGGTTTCCCTGGGAATTCAGAACTCCAGGAAGGGTCTCCCTTCCCTTTTCCATCCCCATAAAATTCCATAACAATGCCTCGGGATGGATCCTAAGCACCCTGGATCCCAGAATCCCGGAATGGTTTGGGATGATATCCATGGACCTTCAATCCCATCCCATTCCAACCCCACCACCCCAGGGTGCTCCAACTTTTCCTTGTACACTCTCAGGGATTCTGTGGGAATTCCAGCCCAGCCTGGAATTCCTTCCCAAGATCCCACCATCCCAAGCTCCCCTTTCCCACTGGAAGCCATTCCCTGGCTCCTGGCCCCTCCAGCCCTTTCCCAAATCCCAGCTCTCCTGGAGCCCCTTTGGGCTCGGGAAGCGGCTCCAAGCATTCCCTGGACCCTTCCCAGCTCTCCCAGCCCTGGATCCACGGCCGAGGCGCTCCAGCCCTGGGAGCAGCCCCGCGGAATTCCCAAATACCTCCTGGAGCTCTCGGATGAGCTGGTTCTTCCCGGCCAGGAGCTCCTGGCACTGCTCCTGCTGCTGCTCCAGCAGCTCCCACAATTCCTGCGGGATCCTCACGTCCCCCACCAGGGCCCACTTGGAGTTGATCTCCTCCAACTTTTCCGTGCCATGCCTGGCTTCCGCCTCCAGCTTTTCCAACCTGCAGGAAGACAGGGAAGCAGGGAGCTGGGATAGGGCTGGAATTTCTCCAGATCTGGGGTTCTTCCCATTCCCTAAAACCCTTCCCTAAATCCCTTTCCTAAATCCCTTCCCTAAATCCCTGTCCTAAATCTCTTCCCTAAATCCCGTCCATGAATCCAATCCCTAAATCCATTCCCTGAATCCCTTCCCTTCCCTAAATCCCTTCCCTAAATTCCTTTCCTAAATCCCTTTCCTAAATCCCTTCCTTAAATCCCTTCCATGAACCCATTCCCCAAATCCCTTCCCTAAACCCATTCCCTAAATCTCTTCCCCAAATTCCTTTCCTAAATCCCTTCCATGAACCCATTCCCCAAATCCCTTCCCTAAATCCATTCCCTAAATCCCTGTCCCAAATTCCTTTCCCAAATCCCTTCCATGAACCCATTCCCCAAATCCCTTCCCTAAACCCATTCCCTGAATCCCTTTCCTTCCCTAAATCCCTTCCATTAATCCCTTCCCCAAATCCCGGGAGCATGGATTCGGTGTTTCCTGGAATTTCCAGGAATGGAGCTGATGGAAAAGCAGGATAGGACCGGCCAGGAATGATCCCGGTGGGGGATCAGGGAATGGCAGAGGGTGGAAAAAACTCTTGAAAATCCCAGCAGGAAAAATTCCACTGCCAGAGCAGGATGGGTGGCCAGGAATGATCCCGGTGGGGGGATCAGGGAATGACAGAGGCTGGAAAAAACTTTGGAAAATCCCAGCAGGAAAAATTCCACTGCCAGAGCAGGATGGGCAGGGCCTTCCCGGGAATATGCTGAGGAATTCCAAGCAGGAAATCCTGGATGGTTTGGATGGGATTTGTGGACCTTCAATCCCATCCCATTCCAACCCAACGAGCCCAGGGTGATCCAACCTTTCCTTGGACACTGCCAGGGATTCTGTGGGAATTCCAGCCCAGCCGGGAATCCCTTCCACCTCCAGCTCTCCAGGAAACCTCTGGAAAACTCCCTCAAACCACCTGGGCCAGGTGGGATTTGGGACCTCGTCATGGGCCGGAATTTTCCGTTGGAATTTTCCGTCGGAATCCGGCGGCATTCCCAAATCCCCGGCTCCTCCCTGCTCACCTCCTCAGCTTCTCCCGCCCCTCCTTTTCCCGCCGCCGCGATTCCCGGAGGTCGGATTCCACCTGGACATTCGTCAGCAGCTGCGTCCCGTGGAAGAGCAGCTTGGCCAGGGCCTGCCGGGGAAGGGACACGCCGGGAATTCCGGCTTGGAATGCACCAATCCCGGATCCTTCCCGCCCGTGCGCTGGTTGGGAATCCAGTTCCAAGGATCCCGGTCAAATCCCAGTCCCTAAAGTGTCCCGAAATCCCTTTCCTTCCCTAAATCCCATCCCTGGATCCCATCCCATCCTGGAATCCAATCCCATAATCCCATCCCATAATCCCATCCCGGAATGCCATCCTGGAATCCCGTCCCGGAATCCCATCCAATTCCAGAATCCCCATTTATGGTTGGAAAAGCCCACGGAATCCAACCATTCCCAGCACCAATGATCCTGCTCAAATCCCGGTGCTGGGGAGTTTCTCTCCCAGTTTTTGGCCCAAAAAGGAGGAAAACCAGGGATAAGAAGGGATCCAAGAGGAGATTCCCATCAGATCCCAAATCCCAATCCTGGGGAACTTCTCTCCTGGATTTTTGTCCCACCAAGGACCAATACAAGGGATGAGGATGGATCCAAGAGGAAATTCCCATTTTATCCCAAGGACCCAGCCCCAGTCCCAGTCCCAGGGAGTTTCTCTCCCAGTTTTTGGCCCAAAAAGGAGGAAAACCAGGGATAAGGAGGGATCCAAGAGGAGATTCCCATCAGATCCCAAATCCCAGTCCTCGGGATTTTCTTTCTCCATTTTTTGTCCCATCAAGGAGAAACCAAGGAGGAAAACATGGAATAAGAATGGATCCAAGAGGAAATTTCCATCCGATCCCAATGATCCAGCCCCAATCCCAGTTTTGGGGAGTTTCTCTCCTGGATTTTGGCCCAAAAAGGAGGAAAACCAGGGATAAGGATGGATTCAAGAGGAGGTTCCCATTGGATTTCAAGGATCTGGCCCAAATTCCCACTCTGGAGTTTATCTCCTGGTTTTTGGCCCAAAAAGGAGGAAAACCAGGAATAAGGATGGATTCAAGAGGAGGTTCCCATGGGATTTGAAGGATCTGGCCCAAATTCCCACTCTGGAGTTTATCTCCTGGTTTTTGGCCCAAAAAGGAGGAAAACCAGGAATAAGGATGGATTCAAGAGGAGGTTCCCATGGGATTTGAAGGATCTGGCCCAAATTCCCACTCTGGAGTTTATCTCCTGGTTTTTGGCCCAAAAAGGAGGAAAACCAGGGATAAGGATGGATCCAAGAGGAGATTCCCATCAGATCCCAAATCCCAGTCCTCGGGATTTTCTTTCCCCATTTTTTGTCCCATCAAGGAGACACCAAGGAGGAAAACATGGAACAAGGAGGGATCCAAGAGGAAATTCCCATTGGATCCTGATGATCCAGCCCCAATCCCAGTCCCGGGGAGTTTCTCTCCTGGTTTTTGGCCCAAAAAGGAGGAAAACCAGGGATAAGAAAGGATTCAAGAGGAGATTCCCATTGGATTTCAAGGATCTGGCCCAAATTCCCACTCTGGCGTTTCTCTCCCGGTTTTTGGTCCATAAAGAAGAACTCAGGGATAAGGATGGATCCAGGAGGAGATTCCCAATCCTTCCTCACCCTCTCGGTCTCCTCGACCAGCTTCAGGCTCTTCCTCTCCTCTTCCTCCTCCTCCTCCTCCTGCTCCACCTTCTCTCCAAGGGCTTCCCTGCGAGGAAAACGGGGAAAAGTTGGAATTAATAACAAAAATAACAATAGTAATAATAATAATAATTTTATATATCAATAGAAATTTAATTTAACAGACATAAATGTATTTATAAATTTATGTATAATATAATAAATATAATATAACATATATAATATAATATAATATAATATAATATAATATAATATAATATAAATTATATTGTAATGTAATATAATAATAAATTAGCCTTGTAAGAACATGGAGTCAGATTCTCATGAAGGATTTGGGATTATCCCAGTGGGATCCTTCACCCTTGGGATATTCCAGGAGGATCAGTCCCAGGTGGGATCAGGGAAGGATTTGGGATGATCCTGGTGGGATCCTTCACCCTTGGGTATATTTATATTATATATACATTTATAATATTTATTAATCTAATATCCACCCCACCCTCTTCCCGATGTTTGGAAAGGGCCGGGATCCAATCCCAGCACGGCACACGGGAAGCAGGAAGCTGGGAACAGCATTCCCAAGGGAAAACGAGATCCAGGATTCCCCCTCTGGAGCTGGGAATGCGTCCAGGAATGCGGGATCAGTTCCTTGGGATCAGGAAAGGATTTGGGATGATCCCAGTGGGATCCTTCACCCTTGGGATATTCCAGTGGGATCAATTCCAGGTGGGACTGGGAAAGGATTTGGGATGATCCTGGTGGGATCCTTCCCACTCAGATATTCCAGAGGGATCAATCCCAGGTGGGATCAGGGAAGGATTTGGGATGATCCCGGTGGGATCCATTTCCCTTTTGGGATATTCCAGAGGGATCAATCCCAGGTGGTTCCTTGGGATCAGGAAAGGATCTGGGATTATCCCAATGGGATCCTTCCCACTCAGATATTCCAGAGGGATCAGGAAAGGATTTGGGATGATCCCGGTGGGATCCTTCCCACTCAGGATATTCCAGTGGGATCAATCCCAGGTGGGATCAGGGAAGGATTTGGGATGATCCTGGTGGGATCCTTCACCCTTGGGATATTCCAGTGGGATCAATCCCAGGTGGTTCCTTGGGATCAGGAAAGGATTTGGGATGATCCCAGTGGGATCCATTTCCCTTTTGGGATATTCCAGAGGGATCAATCCCAGCTGGATCCTTGGGATCAGGAAAGGATTTGGCATCGGGGAGGAGGAGCCTGGCGGGCTGACGAACGAGATTCCCTGGATTCGGAATTCCCGTTGGGAAGAGGATCCACAGACACCTGGCTGTGGGTCAGGCTGGGGGGGAACGGTGCTTTCCATCCCAATTTTCCCTAAGAACCGTGGGAAAAGCGGGATCCTGACCCAGCCCCAGCTCGGGAGTGGATCCCGCTGCTGGATCCATCACAGCGGGATCCAATCCGGACAGGGAATCCATGGGATCCCATTCAATCCCAGGGAAAATCCTTTGGGAAAAGGATCCCAGGTGGATCCCAGGATGGATCCGGGATGGGAATGGGGGTTTGTCCAAGTGGGAATGGGGATTTTTCCTGGGAATGGGATTGTCCCGGAGCGGGGGGCAGGACGGGGATGTCCCCAACTTCGGGATCCGCTGGGATTGGGAATGGCGATCCCTGGGATTGGGAATCTCCTCCCAGGGGCATCCCTGAGCTCCTGCGTCTGCCTGGGAATTGTTTGGGAATGTTTGTTTGGGAATGTTTGGGATCGAGGGGAGGCCCCGGCCTGGGGCCACTTTGGGGACACTCCTGGGTCCCTGTCCCCTCCCAGCCCCCACTGCGGGAGTGTTCCGGGAACTGGGAATGGTCCTGAGCTCTGGGATTGGGATTGGGATGGATCCTGAGCCTTTGGGATTGGGATTGGGATTGGGATTGGTCCTGAGCCTGGAATTTGGTTTAGGTTTGGGATGGATCCTGAGCCTGGGATTGGGATAAGGATTAGGATTGGTCCTGAGTCTATGATTTGGTTTGGGATGGATCCTGAGCCTTTGGGATTGGGATTGGGATGGATCCTGAGTGTGGGATTGAGTTCGGAATCGATCCTGAGTCTGGGATTGGAATTGGGATGGATCCTGAGCCTTTGGGATTGGGATGGATCCTGAGCCTTTGGGATTGGGATTGGAATTGGGATTGGGATGGATCCTGAGTTTGGGATTTGGTTTGGGATGGATCCTGAGCCTTTGGGATTGGGATGGATCCTGAGCCTGGGATTGGGATTGGGATGGATCCTGAGCCTTTGGGATTGGGTTTGGGATGGATCCTGAGCCTGGGATTGGGATTGGGATGGATCCTGAGTTCTGGGAATGTTCCTAAGCCCCTACAATGGGTTTGGGATGGATCCTGAGCCTTTGGGATTGGGATGGATCCTGAGCCTTTGGGATTGGGATTGGAATTGGGATTGGGATGGATCCTGAGTTTGGGATTTGGTTTGGGATGGATCCTGAGCCTTTGGGATTGGGATGGATCCTGAGCCTGGGATTGGGATTGGAATTGGGATTAGGAGGGATCCTGAGTGTGGGATTGAGTTTGGAATCGATCCTGAGTTTGGGATTTGGTTTGGGATGGATCCTGAGCCTTTGGGATTGGGATGGATCCTAAGCCTTTGGTATTGGGATTTGGATTGGGATTGGGATGGATCCTGAGCCTTTGGGATTGGGATTGGGATTGGGATTGGTCCTGAGCCTTTGGGACTGGGTTTGGGATGGATCCTGAGTGTGGGATTGAGTTCGGAATCGATCCTGAGCCTGGGATTGGGATTGGGATGGATCCTGAGCCCAGGATTTAGTTTGGGATTGGGTTTGGGACCTGAACTTTTGGGATGGATCCTGAGCTCTGGGATTGAGTTTAGAATCCCGAGCCTTTGGGATGGATCATGACCCTTTGGAATTTGGTTGGAGTTTAGGATTGGATCCTGAGACTTTGGGATGGATCCTGGGCCCTGAGAATGGATTTGGGATGGGTTTGGAGCCCTGGGAATGGCCCTGAGCCCTGGGATTTGGTTTGGAATGGACCCTGAGTTCTGGGAATGTTCCTAAGCCCCTAAAATGGGTTTGGGATGGATCCTGAGACTGGGATTGGATTTGGGACGGACCCTGAGTTCTGGGAATGTCCCTGAGCCCTGGGATGGATTTGGGATGGATCCTGAGATTGGGATTGGATTTGGGACGGACCCTGAGTTCTGGGAATGGCCCTGAGCCCTGGGATGGATTTGGGATGGATCCTGAGTTCTGGGATTGGATTTGGGATGGATCCTGAGCTCTGGGATTGGATTTGGGATGGATCCTGAGCCTGGGATTGGATTTGGGATGGACCCTGAGTTCTGGGAATGTCTCTGACCCCTGGGATGGGTTTGGAATGGACCCTGACCCCTGGGATTGGGTTTGGGATGGATCCTGAGTTCTGGGATTGGATCTGGGATGGACCCTGAGTTCTGGGATTGTCCCTGAGCCCTGGGATTGGATTTGGGACGGATCCTGAGCCTGGGATTGGATTTGGGATGGACCCTGAGTTCTGGGAATGTCTCTGACCCCTGGGATGGGTTTGGAATGGACCCTGACCCCTGGGATTGGGTTTGGGATGGATCCTGAGTTCTGGGATTGTCCCTGAGCTCTGGGATGGATTTGGGACGGATCCTGAGCCTGGGATTGGATTTGGGATTGATCCTGAGTTCTGGGATTGGATCTGGGATGAATCCTGAGTTCTGGGAATGTCCCTGACCCCTGGGATGGATTTGGGATGGATCCTGAGCCTGGGATTGGATTTGGGATGGATCCTGATTTCTGGGATTGGATTTGGGATGGATCCTGATTTCTGGGATTGGATTTGGGACAGATCCTGACCTGGGATTGGATTGGATTTGGGATGGATCCTGAGTTCTGGGATTGGATTTGGGATGGATCCTGAGCTCTGGGATTGGATTTGGGATGGATCCTGAGCTCTGGGATTGGATTTGGGACAGATCCTGACCTGGGATTGGATTTGGGATGGATCCTGAGTTCTGGGAATGTCCCCGAGCCCTGGGATGGGTTTGGGGTCAATCCTGAGCCCCTGGGATGGTTTGGAACGGATCCCCAGTCCCGGACCCCGTTCTGAGCCCCGGTTCCGGTTCCGAGCCCCCAGTTTGGGGTGGGGACCCCCCGGCACCCCTCCCCCCCCGCCTCTGGAAAACCGGGAATGGGGGCCCGGCCCCCCGTTCCTCACCGGCGCCGGACATCGATGCGGTTCCGGCGGGCGGCGATTCGCTGCTGGCGCTCCCAGTCCGCGCCGGACTCGGCACCGGGATCGGCACCGGGATCGGTACCGGGATCGGCACCGGGATCGGCACCGGGATCGGCACCGGGTTCGGTACCGCGATCGGCACCGGGATCGGCACCGGGATCGGCACCGCGATCGGGAATGCGATCGGCACCGGGATCGGGAATGGGATCGGCACCGGGACTGGGATCGGTACCGGCAGTGGGATCGGTACCGGTACCGGGATCAGCGCCGGGATCCGGCTTGGTTTGGGATTTAGGACCGAGTTCAGGCTCGGGCTCGAGATCGGCGAGCTCCAGGCCCGGGCCTGGGCCCGCCCCGTCCTCCCCCGCCTCCATGAGCACACCTGGGCGCAGGTGCGCTCCCGTTAAAGCGCATGCGCGGCTCCGGTTACCCCGGCAACCGGCGATGCGCGTTGTCCATTGCGCATGCGCCAGTGACTGAGCGTCCTCCGTTGCCGAGCAACGTGCGAGTCATCAGCGGGACGTTGCTGCGCATGCGTCGTGGCTCCTCCCGTTGCTTGGCAACGGCGGGAGCATCATGGCCCCCCCCCTCCGAAATTTTCCAAATTTTCCCGGCGCGTTTTCCGTGGGAAACAGCGGGAAAAACGGCACCGGGAGGGCTCGTCCCGCTCCTTCCCGCTGGGATCCGGGAGATGGGGACGGGGCTGGGATGGAATTCCCAGAGAATTCCCTGAGAATCCCGGGGAGTGTACAAGGAAAGGCTGGAGCACCCCGGGATCGGGGCGGGAGTGGGATGGGATTTTAAATCCTTGGATGCCATCCTGGGATTGAGGACGCTCAGGATGCATCCAGAGAGATTTTTATGGAATTGGGGGAAGGAAAAGGGAAGGGAGACCCTTCCTGGAGTCCCAGATTCCCAGGGAATTCCCAAAATTCCTTCTCCAGGAGGAGTCGGGATGGGGATGGATCCAAAGCCAGGCTGGGAGAGCTGGGAATGGAGAGAATTCCCTGGGAAAGGGGAGCTTGGGATGGTGGGATCTTGGGAAGGAATTCCCGGCTGGGCTGGAATTCCCAAAAAATCCCTGGATCCCTGACAGTGTCCCAGGAAAGACTGGATGGTCTTGGAGCAGCCTGGGGTCGTGGGAAGTGTCCCTGGGATGGGATTGAAGGTCCATGGATCCCATCACAAACCATTCTGGAATTCTGGGATCCAGGACACTCAGGATCCATCCCCAGGGATTTTTATGGAAGTTGGGGATGGAAAAGGGAAGGGAGACCCTTCCTGGAGTCCTGGATCCCGAAATTCCTTCTCCAGGAGGAGTCAGGATGGGGATGGATCCAAAGCCAGGCTGGGAGAGCTGGGAATGTGCAGCTGGATCAGGGAAGGATCCAGGGAATCCTTGGAGCCTTTTCCAGAGGGGGATTTTGGGATCTTGGGAGGGAATTCCCGGCTGGGCTGGAATTCCCAGAGGATCCCTGGCGGTGTCCCAGGACAGGGATCTCATTCATTCCCAAATCCTGGGGTTTTGCTTTTCCAGCCTCCCTCGCGCCGAGCTCCGGGATTTTTTTGGGAATTCCACGCGCTCCGTGGAAGGCAGGGAACAGAAGTCTCCGGGCTCAGCATTCCCGGGCCTCTCCCTCCTCCTCCTCCTCCTCCTCCTCCTCCGGGGTGTGGGAGCGCCTGTTGCCATGGGGGTTGCCATGGAATTCCGATCCGCAGTTTCCATGGAAATCGCCAGAGCTTGGGAATGGGATGGGGGAGGAGGGGGGCGAGGCCCTGCCGGGGTTCCCGGGATGGCCCCGCATGGGGAAAAAAATTCCAGGCCTTCCCGAGCTCTGCTTCCCCAAATCCTGCTCTTTTCCCTTCCCGGAGATGCCAGGGAATGTTTCCTTTTCCAGGGAATTCCGCAGCCCTGGCGGGGCTGGTCTGGGGTCAAGGAGCGGGAATATTCCAGGGGATCATCCCACTGGATTTTGGGGTTTCCCAATCTTTTTGGGGTTGCTCCTGGACGCGGCGATCCAAGTGATTCCCTCCAGGAATGCTGAGATGGGAAAAGAAGGGGAAATCCGGGAATTTCGGCCTGATCCATCCCCCCCAATCCTTTTCCCAACCCCGATCCCAAAGGATGAGGGAAAATGGGATGATCCCGTGACCTGACCCCATCCACCCGCCCTCATTCCAGGATTTTCCTTGGGAAAAGGATAAAACTCATCCCAAACTGGAATTATCCAAATAAATCACGGAATCTCCGCAGGTTTTGAGGGCCGGGAAGCCCCGAATTCCTTGGAATGTTGGAAAATCGGGAGTGTGTAGCTGGGGGTGGAGGGTTGGAATTTTTTCCAGCTCCAGCTTTTCCAGCCTGAAGATGGCAGCAAGCACCCGCGGCATTCCCGGCAGTGGGAACAGCTCCGTCCAAGCCTCTGGAAAGCGGCTCCAACTTCTCCCGCTCCCAAATCCCGGCCGGATCCTCCGCAGCTCACCCCGAACATTCCCCTTGGAAAAAAAAAAAAGAAAAAAGTGAGTGTATCCCTGTTTATATTTTTTTAATTATAATTTTTTAAATTTTATTTTATTTTTCCCGGGATTCCGCGAGCCGCGATTCCCAAAGCGTCGCTCCCTAGCGATGGGAGGAGGGCGGGGGGGAAGGAAAAAAAAAAAAAATTAAAAATAAAATAAATAAATCCCGGCGGGGTTTTGATTCCCAGCTCTCCGTGCCAATGGAAAAAGGGGAAAATTGGGAAGTGGAAGGGGAGGGAGCAGCGGTTTCCCGGGAGCCGTTCCCGGAGCGACGGGAAAAGGGAGCATGGGATGGCTCAGCCGCCTCCTGAGCCAGCTCTCCTGTGAGTCCGCGGGAATCCGCCGGGAATGGGCGCCGGGAATTGGGAATTCGGGAATTTCAGCAGCGCTTTTCCACCCCCCGGGGCCGGGGATGGTCCCGAAGTTGCGCGTGGGCGAGGTCGGGATTGGGATGAGGGGATGGGAAAGGGAGGAAAAAGGGCGAGGAGGAGCGGGATGGATCCCGCGGGGGATTCCCGGGGGGATTCCCCGGCGGGAATTTTTGGGGATCGGCTGCGGGGGAGATTCCCGGCCCCGAGGATGCGGGATCGCAGCCGGAGCCGCCGGAGCGTGGGAATTGCGCATCTCCGAGAGCGCGCGTGGGAGAGCCCGGGAACGGCCGGGGATGGGAATCGCGGGGGATCCGCGGGGAGAGGGGCTCGCCATGGATCCCGGGAATCGCCATGGATCCCGGGAACCGCCATGGATCCCGGGAATCGCCATGGATCCCGGGAATCACCATGGATCCCGGGATTTGCCCAGGATCCCGGGATTCACCCTGGATCCCGGGATTTACCCAGGATCTTGGGATTTGCACAGGATCCCGGGATGCGCTCAGGATCCCGGGGTTTGCTCAGGATCTTGGGATTTGCACAGGATCCTGGGATTCACTCAGGATTCCGGGATTCACCCAGGATCCCAGGATTCACTCAGGATCCCAGAATTCACCATAGATGCTGGGATTTGCCCAGGATCCTGGGAATCACTCAGAATCCCGGGATTTGCACAGGATCCCAGGATTCACTCAGGATCTTGGGATTTGCACAGGATCCTGGGATTCACTCAAGATTCCGGGATTCACTCAGGATCCCAGAATTCACCATAGATGCTGGGATTTGCCCAGGATCCTGGGAATCACTCAGGATCCCGGGGTTTGCTCAGGATTCTGGGATTTGCCCAGGATCCCAGGATTTGCCCGGGATTCTGGGATTCACCATGGATCCCGGGATTCGCCCAAGATCCCAGGATTTACCCAGAATCCTGGGATTCACTCAGGATCCCGGGATTTGCCCAGAATCCTGGGATTCACTCAGGATCCCAGGATTTGCTCAGGATCCCAGGATTTGCCCAGCATCCCAGGATTCACTCAGGATGCCGGGATTCACTCAGGATCCCAGGATTTGCTCGGGATCCCAGGATTTGCCCAGAATCCCAGGATTCACTCAGGATCCTGGGATTCCCGCGCCTCATCCGCTTGGGGAAAAGGGTTTGGCGTCCCTAGAAGCGCAATCGAGATGGACAATCCGGGATCTGGAATTCCAAAGAGTGGGATGACGGAATTCCCTGCGGGTTTTGGGGAGAGGGGCAGCCCCACATCCCTTGGGATTCATTCCCGTCTGCCAGGGGCTGTGGCCAGGGGGTCCCAGCTGGAGCCGGGAAAATTCGGGAGCAGCGGGAAAGGAGAGGGAGCTGAGGGAATGGGATTGGGATTGGGAATGGGAATGGGGATGGGGATGGGAATGGGATTGGAATTGGGAATGGGAATGGGATTGGGAATGGGATTGGGAATGGGATTGGGAATGAGCCGGGTGTCCTTGGACACCAATGTGGGCTGCATCTCCACAGGAATTCCCACCTGGAATTTCGGGAAGTGCTCATCCCACCTCACTTCCCCATTCCCGCTGGGAATTCCCCATTCCCACATCCCCAAACTGTGGGATCGGGGCACCCCATTGCTCCCCTTCCCGCTTTTCCTCCTGGCATTCCCAGTGTTCCCTAAACCACTCTAGGATCGGGATCGGGATTGGGATCGGGATTGGGATTTGGATTGGGATTAGGATCAGGATTACTCCTCGGTGCAGGATGCTCGGGGCAGAATTCCCAGGATCCCGGGGATCCCAGGAGTGGGAAGGATCCTCTGGGCCAGGAAAGGGGCTGTGGCTCCACAGGAATTCCCACCTGGAATTTTGGGAATTCCCACCTCACTTCCCCGTTCCCACTGGGAATTCCCAGCTCATCCCAGGATCCCAGCCACCCCCAAAATTTGGGATCAGGGGCAACTCATTGTTCCCTCCCCTTCCCTTCCCATTTTTCCTCCTGGCATTCCCAGCGATCCCTAAACCGCTCTGGGATTGGGATCGGGATCAGGATTGGAATCGAGATTGGGATCGGGATTCCTCCTCGGTGCAGGATGCTCGGGGCAGAATTCCCAGGATCCCGGGGATCCCAGGAGTGGGAAGGATCCTCTGGGCCAGGAAAGGGGCTGGCAGAAGAATCCCGGCAGGGGCTGCAGCTCCACAGGAATTCCCACCTGGAATTTTGGGAATTCCCGCCTCACTTCCCCATTCCCACTGGGAATTCCCAGCTCATCCCAGGATCCCAGCCACCCCCAAAATTTGGGATCAGGGGCAACTCATTGTTCCCTCCCCTTCCCTTCCCATTTTTCCTCCTGGCATTCCCAGCGATCCCTAAACCGCTCTGGGATTGGGATCGGGATCAGGATTGGAATCGAGATTGGGATCGGGATTCCTCCTCGGTGCAGGATGCTCGGGGCAGAATTCCCAGGATCCCGGGGATCCCAGGAGTGGGAAGGATCCTCTGGGCCAGGAAAGGGGCTGGCAGAAGAATCCCGGCAGGGGCTGCAGCTCCACAGGAATTCCCACCTGGAATTTTGGGAATTCCCGCCTCACTTCCCCATTCCCACTGGGAATTCCCAGCTCATCCCGGGATCCCAGCGCTACCCCCACCCCGTGGGATCGGGGGCACCCCATCGCTCCCTT